AAAAACATTTTATGATATTTTGTAGGTAACTTTCATGGCACACTTTTAATTTTCAAAGAAAAAGCTAACTTTTTAAGGTATATTTTTCGAACCCAGTTAGAATTACTACAAGTGTAGCAGTTTCAGTAAGTAACATGTTTGTTTGCCATGTTAAAGTGAAAGAGAAATTCCCGTGTATAGTGCAGCGTTGTCCTTTGTCCTTTGTCTGCCTGGCTGCCTGCATCCTTATCTCTTTTTCGGGGGCGAGTCAAAGTCAATAGGATTAACTGACATTTCAATGTCAGTGGCGCAACCAGGCTGGCAAACACTCTGACGTGTCCCAAAACCACGGAGCACCCTTGTCGCCCACTGACACACACGTGCGATTGTTTCAATGTCTAGTGGCGTCGATTGCCTTCACTCCTCGGCGCAGGCAGACGCACTTGGCCAAAATCTAAGGCTAAGGCTAAGGCTGCAGCTGCAGTCAGATGCACTTGACGATGGGATTGGGGCTGATGCCGAACAGAGATGGCAAACTACTTGGTACACTGGCTTTACCAAAGGTCATGTTCTCATCAAGACTCTTCTTCTAATATAACTAACTGCCAGACAAAATTGTTACTGTTTTAAAGGCTAAATTTCCATATGTTTTTTAGGTTTAAACTTTAGAGCCTACTTTTAGTTTACATCATGGTTAACTAACTATAATGTTAAATTAATGTAGGTTTCAAACTCTAAGTTTCCATAAGTTTTCTTGGTTTAAACCCTACTGTTAGTTTACCATGATGTTAAACTAACTATAACGTTAAACTAAAGGTAGTTTTTTAACTTTTAGGCTTAAAGCCTATTTTTACTTTACCTTGATGTTAAACTAACTGTAATGTTAAACTAAAAGTGAGTTTAAAAGTCTAAATATCCATACGTTTTCTAGGACTAAGGCCTACTTTTAATTTAACATGATGTTGAACTAACCATAATGTTAAATAAAATGTAGGTTTTAAACACTTAATTGTCTAGAGTTTTTTAGGTTTAAAACCTATTTTTACCTTAGCATGACGTTAAACTAACCATTATGTTAAACTAACAGTACTATATAAATTCTAGAGTTACATACTTTAAAACCTACTTTTAGTTTGACATGAGGTCGAAAAATCAATTCCTAGAATATTTCAAAATTTATGAGTATAAAAATGTTTAAATACATTTTTTTTCTCCCCTAGATTTATCTATTTACTTTTCTAAAAGAACATTCAATTAAAATGTAAAGACCCAATAAATTTTAAGCTTGTTTAGATAACGCATGAAACATCTTTCCTTTTTTATATTTACATATACCATTTTTTGGCCCCTGATCTATACAAATAAGAAATGTATCATGCACTTTTCCAAGGTAAATTGTAATAGTTTTTCCAGAACCGCATGGTAGCTAACCCATCACTGCCGCACCGAGTGGATCTGAACCACTCGAATCGAGGCGAGGCTCCTGATCCACAAGCCACATGGCTCCTCGAAAGTGTTTAGTTTTCACACTCGCCTGCCGCAAAGGCAGATGCAACTGTTGCTGCTGCCTTTGTTTATGGACTTGCCTGCACAGTGGATTGTAGGACCATTTTATTTTGGGAAAACCATTCCACATGCAACACCCGAAAGTTGACCCAAATTACTACAATTTCGCCTTGGCCAAAAAACACGCTAAGAATAGTTTTGTCATTGAGTCCATGCATCATCGGTAAAACCGAGTGGAATAACCTTGAGAGGGTTTTTTTTATGGGCCAACAAGTCGTTACTTTTAAGTTCCTTTTGAAAAGGCATGCAAAGCTTATCAAAAAATAATAATAGTTAAGGAAGTTGAAGAAGAACTGATAAAATTTTAAGTAAATGGAATATTTTAAATTCCCTTTACTAAAAACAAAGAATGTGGAAAAATGTAAAGTTGACTAAGAGTTGTAAAATAATTCTGGGATCGTAACTTTTATAAGTTTTAGGTTCCCAATTATTTCTTGAGCTTTATAGTATAACTAAAAAATACCTGTTATTTCATAAACTTTATAATGAAAATATAGAATTTTCTATAGAAATCGATTTTTTTTTGTTTTTACTTTAAATTGTTGGTATATTAAACCTTTTTTGAGAAAAGTATGTTAATTTTGTACATTATCAAAGCTAATTAGACTTTCTTAGTCGGAAAATGGAAATAATTTCGAGGAATCATCTTGAAAAAGAAATTAAAGATCAGGTAAAGTACCAATTTACGTATATTGAGTATTTCCGACACTTTTCCCAATAAATATTCCCCTATCTATCGGCACATAAAACCGAAAATACAATTCTCCAACGCTCAAGTGCTCCGGATTTCGGCAACCGATAAACCAGCACTTTCCCCCAAAATAGAACAATAGAATCAAGTGGAAAGGTAGACGCGAGGCAGAATTTCCACTTCCGGTGAGGGAAAAAAAGAGGAAAAGAGTGCACTTACCCAAGAGCAGGAGCTTGATGTCCTTGGCCGCCTGGATACCATCCTCCTTCAGATTCTTCTCGATCTGTTTGGATCGCTGTATGGCGGCGCGTTCTTCGGCGGATGTGGTGCAGCCCATTGTGATTTGGGGTTTGGATTCTGTTTCTGATTTGGTTATGGACTTGGATTTGGATTTACACAGGGGTTCTTTTCGGTTTATGGGGTTTTGTTTTCCAATTTTCCTGGACTTCTTTTCTTTTTATCTTATTTGCTTATGTACAGTTTTACGGTTTCAACTGAAATGGAATATTGAACCCATCAACAATAACAAATGCACGGGTCAACGGGTGATTCACTATAAACAGGGAGCAATCGATAAAGGGAACCAATGAAAACCAAGGCTGTTTACTCAATACAGCTGTGTTCAAACAATATGTGGTGTTTTTTTATGGAATTGATAAAAACAAAACATCATCAAAAGGAAAACCTGGGAAAGCCTAGTTACTTCGAATGTTATTTTAAGTACTTTTTTTAATGATATAAAATGATGTAATGATGTACAATTTTTTAATCCCTTATGTTTTATGAAATGTTTGGTATAAAGTGATATTTGAAAATATTATTTTGAATCACAACTGTATTTTCATTTATATATTGAAATTATAAGAAAAAGCACAGATATCCCCTAATTTTATTTCACTGTATGGGTTCAGCAAGGACTGGGCCTTATTATATGGCCGCCACTGTACGTCCAATAGGGCGCGCACTGTTTCAATTATGTTGTTTTTGGTTTTATCAGCAGACGCAAAGTAAAAATAAAAGCAAAAGCATTGATAGCCAGCTAATTTGCATATGGAGCATGTTTGTGATATCGATACAAAATTCATCAATCGTGCTGATAAGATAAATCCAGCAGATAATGGTGGATCTCGATAAGGTTGGGTAATTTATCATGTAAGTGAATTAGTCGGGGGGCCAAAAATCCATATATTTAAGCTTGGTTTTTGGATTAGGATAAGGTTTTTGGGTTCATTTTAGTTTTTAGATATTAGATTTGGGCATCACTTGTAAAGGTTTTTGCTTGAAGAGTTTTTCTTAATATTGGATTTGTTTTAAACACTTTTTTATTTCATCTTTTTCTGGTTTTTCCTTATTTGTTATATTTTTTGTGTGTATGTATTAGGCGTGGGCGTAGGCGCTAAAAAAGCGCCGGCTCTTTGGAAAAAAGTCGGTGGGTTGTTCGGGAGTTTTCTTTCGAGCGTTTCCCTTTGGAAAATTAAATTATGCAAAAAATAATGCCGTTTTTATGCAAACTGTTAACCATTTCGAATGTATAAATTTTCATTTAGTTTGTCGCTTTTGCACTCACACACTCGCACGCGCACTCACTCACACGCACACGCACTCTCACGCGCTGCACACGCCACACCCCCCGCCCACTGGGCCGCCACCGCCCACCACCCCCCGAGTTTTCCTTTTTCTTTTTTTTTCTTCTTTTTTTCAGCTTCACATTTACCACCGCCTAGTTTTCCAGTCGTATACACACCGCTCAAATGTATGTGCGCCTGTGTGTGTGTGCCTCTGTTTCAGCTCAACGTGTGTGTGTGTTGGTGTGCAGGAGGCTCTCTTTTGCGTTTGGTTATTCTTATTGGTTCCGTTCGTTTTGCGCTCCTTTTTCGCGACTCGCTTTTGTTGTTACTGCACCGATCGTGATAATTTACCGTTGCACTTGCCGAGCACTTGCACTTGTATTTTTGGCCGCAGTGATATTGGTAAATTGCACTTTTCTAGTGTGCGAAAATCTAGCTGCTCTCTCTCGCTTCGTTCGCTCTTTCAAACTGCTCCGCAACTGAGGCGAACAGCTGTTGGCGGCGGCGGTGCGCAGCACTGGTCGCGGCGGGGGTGGGCGCTGACCAACACTGGCCGCAACAGCTGCTATAATGTGAGCTTAAAGTTATTAGTTTTTAATATTAACAATGATAATTTAAAGATGTTAAGTTAGTTTGATAATTTTAAGCCATTACTTTTTTCCTAATCTAACGTTTCTTTTCAAGTAAAAAAAATTCTGCTGAGTATTCTTTAAATGATTAAAGATATTTTTGAAATTATTAAAAAAATAATCACTTATTAAAAATAAATGAAAAATAGGAAACCAGTATCTATAACACATATTTGTCTGTACTTATTCCTTTAATAACCTATTGGTGTTTTATATATCAGTACAACAAACAAACTTGTAAACAAGTAAGGTATTTTAAAAATCCTAAATTTTGTATCTTACTATTAGGACACAATAATATAATTGAACTAAAAGTTGTAAATTTAAATATTTATTTCTCTGAGTTTACATCTTTTAAATATTTGTATGATCACACAATGTGTTTTTAGTAAGCTTACAACCAAAAGTCCTTTCTGTTCTATTCCCCTATTTTTGTTTTTTTTTGTTTAACGGTAACGTCATCTAGCAATTAATATTTATAGCATTTTGAAATTCTGTTCATGTTTTCCAGCACTTGTCATGGTAATTGCTATCGATTTTTATAGCAAGTTTCTATCGTTACTATACAATTTATTTACCAACACTGTCGTTATATCATTGTGTTGTTTATTGAAATACTAAAATGTTGCGGCAAATTTTGGTGAGATTACAGACCCAATTTAATCAGAAATAGTTAATAATATATCTTTCTATAGTTTACTAAAGTGGCCCGTCGCCTGGCGCTACCTATGGTAGCCCAAAATCGCTCTGCCAGCAATTTGGACAAATCTGAGTATACTACACCTGGGGAAATTGTGGATTACGATGATCCACCACATTTGCCAGTTCCGGAATATCCTGTTCGTCCTGATGAGCCCCTCGAAACACGCAAGCAGCGGTACTATCATACTTAATATATTATAAAATCGTAGCTATAATCATCTTTTCATATTTCTAGCCTTTTGTATCAGAGCCGAAAACGTGGAATGCTCGAAAACGATCTTTTGCTGAGCACTTTTGTTGCCAAACATCTGAGGGATTTCAATGCCGAACAGACCGCCGAATATGATCAGTTAATCAATGGAGTCAGCAACGACTGGGATATATTCTATTGGGCGACCGAAACAAAGCCTACACCCCCACAATTCGATACTGAAATAATGCGACTGCTAAAGGAGCACGTCAAGAACCATGAGAAGGTACAAAGGATCAGACAACCTGATCTATAGACCAAAGAACCCTATTAACTTTATACCCCACACTATAAGAATGTGTATTAGCTGATGCATTACTAAACTATTGTATTTTTTAAAGGGTTTTGATATTTAAATATGAGGATATTAACTTATGCAAAAAAAAATTTGACAATTAAAATACACAATATTTTTCACTTGTTACTATAAATTTATTCCACTTTTTGAATTGTCTCGGATGGAATTTTAATCTTTTCTGAATAAAAATACAGTATTTATGCCAGAACTAATCCTGTAACTAATAAAATTTAAAATTAATTAATTATATTTTACCACTTCCTCTGAAACCAAAAATTCCATAGCTAGTTTATTACCATTTTGAAGACATACCCCATTCAAAACACATTTCCGCCTTCCTGAAATACACATCCATACAATATATTTAAACGATTATCCAGTTAAATTGTATTCATGCTTTGCCGTATGTGTGTATGACCAATCTTGTATATATAGATTAAATTGTAATTTGCTTAATCACTATAGCGAAATATTACACTTAAAATGTTCATTAGCTTTTGCTTAGTCTTGCCACAATACACAGGATGGCGCGGAATCCATCGAAAATCGCAGAAAACACGGAGAATTTGAACGCGGAAAATCTACGTGGGTGTACACCAATTAACTATGGGATTCGGTTCTCTATTAACTTGCTAATTAGATGATTGAACAGTTTTTGCACTAGGCTAGCTAGTCCACTTCAATATCAATTCTAGATTTATTTTGGTATGACGTGTGCTTTTAGTGTTTCTGGCGGTGGAAGCGAAAAACAAAGAGTTAAATCCGTTTTAAGGGTCGTGTCGCAGCACAGTTCGCAATTTTAATTATACATCATAATATTACACACTTTAATGCTTACAGAGGCTATATAAAATATATGTTAAAAGTTATTAAAAATCACGCTAAACCGAAGGCCGCAAAACGCATCGAATCCTTAGCAAAATCGAACATTTAAAAGAACGGCAATTATTTTTCGAAATGGGCGAAACAGAAGCCAGAGGCGCGGGTAAATAAAAATGGTGAGAACGGAAGTAACAACAAAATTTAACCTATTAGAAATTGTAAATAATCTAGATTTAGTCCAGGGTCTCGAAGAAGTCCTGCGGATCGACAAACATCGATGGGCTGCTGTTTCCGCTCAAAATTTCCGCTGCCTCCTCCTGGCGGGCGGCCTCTGCTTCCGCTTCTTCCGCCTCCTCTTCCGCTGCCGCTGCGGCAGCCGCTGCCGCCGATGAAGATGAGCTGAACCCGCTCCTGCGACGACCCCGACGCACTGGTCCCGCCGTTCCAACGCTCCCGCCGCCCACCGATGCCACTGCCGCCGACCGAAGCTGACTGCCCGTCATCACGGGATCGTAGGTCCGCGACGAGGGGGCATCGGTGCTGCTGGACAGTGAGGATTTGCGACGACGTTTGTTCCGCCGCCGTCGGCGACGTTTGCTTGTCTGGACGGCAACGGCAGCCGTCGAGGTGGAGGGCCCAGATCCGGTTGCGGCGCCGGCGCTGCCCAACGGTTCCGTGAGCACACTGGTTCGCGGCAGGGTCAGCGTGGTCTCGAACATCTTCAGCAGCGTCGGCGAACTGGGTCAATTTTGCGGGAACACGTCGTCGATGGTAATGAAAGCGTCCTCGCCCAGCGAGTGCTGGCCAATCACCTTGATCAGCTCAGCGGCGTGGGCCACCAGATACTCCAGCGGCGGACGGCGCTCGCAGTTGAGTGACTCTGTAAAATGCATCATTAAATTCTCTTTAGAAAAGCAGGAAAGGATATCCAAGAACTTACCCAATATGGCTGAATTGAGCGTGGTGGAGACGTTCTCACGCCGCGAGGGACACAACAGCCAGCCCAGCGGACTGGACCAGGGATTTGAGTAGGCAATCAAGCTAAATGCATCCTGCAAGTAATAATAAATTGAACATCTATCCTAAAAGTGTCCTATTTGATCCCAGTTTACAGACAGAACTTTAGCTCAGCTGGGAATCTAGACTATACCTCTAACATTTGACGCTCCTCTTCAGTCATGCGGTTCTCCTCCTCCAACTGCTGGCCCATGCTGGACAGCTCCTTGCCGAACTCCAGGATCTTCTCGATGACACGGCCACAGCTGCGCGATGAGGGGGAAACGTCTACATCTGCAAGTGCTGGGGATTACGGATCTTCCCGGACAGGCCATCAATAGATACCTACCCATTTCCTCGTCGATGGCATCTAGAGAGTTGCGCACTGCGCTGGCATTGCCATTGGAGTTGGAGCAGGAGTCGCCGCCGTTCGAGTGGCTCTGGCAGGGCTCCATTTCCACGTCCATGCTGTTGCTGTCATGGTCCGCGCACTTGTTGGAGTTGTCATCAACCAACATGCTGGAAAAATAAGTTATTAAATTGATTTCCTGGCTCTGAAGCTAAATAATTTAAGTATTCTTCACATACTTCTTGATAACTGGCTTGTCGCCGCCCTGTGGCTTTATCACAGCTGAAATCGCAGTGTTGTTCTGTTGTTGTTGAGTCTGATTAAGGTTTACGTTGCCGTTTCCATTGCCGCTCTTGCTGTGCTTGAACGCCTTAGTGGACTGGATCACGGACGTCTGGTTCGTGGGCATGGTCTGGGTGGTGGCGGTGACTTTGTTGTTGACATTCTATGAAGAAACTCTTTTGATATAACTATTTCTTTCATTATTTCATGACAAGGCCCACCTCAATGTCAGCTCCATTGATCATTTCGATAAACTGGCGGCACTTCAAGGCGAACCAGAGGTTTTTATTTTTCTCCAAAAGTCCGGGAAAAGAGCGTAGTGTGTGCTCGATGGCCTGACTCATCTTTCCGGTCAATATGAGTTTGATGATCTCTGCAAGTATTTTGGGTTGTTAGCTGATTGATTCATTTAGAGGATGCCAAGGGATATGCTTACTTTGACGTATCTTGATGGATGCCAAGTCCTCGTCGAAGGACTGATTTGTATAGCCATTGAAGGCCTCGGCGGTCTTGCTGAAGGCATTATGCACTAAATAGGTGGAAACCAGGCTAAAATATTGAAAATATAGATTAAATTAGTTATAGTTATGGTAGAGAACTCAATACACCCACCGATTCATCAGGTTCTCTGGGGTCTCCAGCAGATGTGGATATCTGTCGATCTTGCGCAGCACATTCGAGCGCATCTCCTTCATCATGTCGACAATTTTGTCGAACTTGAATGGTTCCTGACCAAAGTTGGCATCCACTTCCTCACCAGGAGTCTGTAGGCCCACAGTCGGGTATAACTTGGTCTGGGGAAATAAACAAACAAGGAGTTAAAGCTAAAGATAAAGAGGGATACAATATCCATTAGAAACCCACTGGCAAATCCCTAAATGCGATCCCCAAATCCACTCCGTTCTTGGTGTAGAAGCACGTGTTGTTCACAAAGTTAACGCAGCATCCAATCACATCGCCGGTGGTGAAGGTGGGCCCATAGGTCTGGCCATTCCCGGAGGAGCTGAACGAGTTGCCATCGTCACCGTGGTAGCCGTATGACTGCTTGTCCCAACCTACTTGAAGGGGGTGTGCCGGTCATTAGGAATCATAGGGCATCTCGCCGAGCAGCACAACGCAACACAAACCTGGCAGGCGGTTCATCCGGAACTGCTGGGCGGTCAGGCCGATGCCCATATATCCGTTGCGTCCCTTGGAGATTATCCGCACCTCGAAGTAGTAGAGTCCGCAGGAGGACGGGATCGGATAGGCAGTGCGCACGGAGGCGGCATCACTGTGCTGCTTGCCAACTCCTAAAAAAGTATTAGGTGTCAGTACTTTCAAGATCTTGATTTTCTTAAATACGCTAAACTTGTTACTTTTTACCACTTTTTAATTAAGATAGTATCGTTTTATATCACCATCAGTAGTAAAAATATTTATACTATACCATATACTAGCTCAAAAATTAATCGTATAATTTAAAAACTAAAAGATTCGAATTTAAATAAGCTCACTTCTTTAAGTAAACATTTGTATACTTGACACAATCTTACAGGTTAATAAATATTGTTCTAGACACGATTTTATATATTTTGTAGAATGCATTTAATAAACATATTTCCATATCCAGAGTACCTTTGTATATATCAAAATAATGTGTAATTATAAAATTTAACACCTAAAAACTTTATAAACCCTCTATTAAAAAGTCTACACTGTTTACATACATTCTACATGTTATTCTACACTGTTAGGATACAGCTGTTGCTGTTAACTGTTTTACAGCCACGCGAATAAGCGTGGGAGAAGTGAGTAGTGAAAAACAAAAACCACCAGCACACAGCTGAGAGCACCTGTCTGTGCCTGTGTGGGTGAGAAAGAGAGAGAGGAGCGGGAGAGCGTACAAACTGCAAATGCACCTTTAATGCTCTTCTTCTTCCTAGCGATTTGTGTTACATCTCTGAAGATAAATAGATATGTGTGTACTTTTGACTGATGGAAGTACAAATAAATCCAAGGTACTCAATGATTTGGTTACAGAAAATATTGTGTATCCAAGTTTTAGAGATAGTAAATTGTATGCTTAGCTATTTGGCCTAATTAAAAAGGGTTAATAAGATTAACCCTTTGGTAAAGTTAATCTGGGCAGCTTTATGAACTTTGAGATAAATCAGCAGTTCGAGTATAGGTACAACAAATGGGAAGACTAAAAAAATATTAGTTCAACTTAAAACCAACCTATACCAAATTTAATAACAATTGAAAGACTGTGGGGTACTTCATTTCTCTGGGCACCTTTATAACTCTTGAAATTAAGCATTACTCTTAAATAACTTAATTTCAGACTGTTCTAACATAACTATGTGCGTAAGATTAAAAAAAAAATCCAAGCGAAACAACATATAATTTTTGTAGAGATTAAAGTTGAACAGATAGGGATTACTTATCCGAAGATAAAGTAATTTTTTTTTTCAAATTTCATAGCACATACCAAATTTTATAACTACCAAAGAGATGTGATAATAGATTTTTAAAGTATACTTCTTCAGAAATCCTTACAAGATATCTTATCTTAAAGACTTTGTATTCTCAATAAACATTTATGAATTCTAAGTAAAAGTAGGCAACCTAAAGACAGGTCTTATCCAGATCTTATAGATTAGCACCTTAGGAAGAGTTCAAACTTCGGATACGACTCACCCTTGTAGGTGACCCTTAGGTTGTTCTGGGACAGTCCGATGGACAAGCACTTGTCGTGGGGACTCCAGCAGCGTGGCAGTGGAGTCTCGCTTTCGTTGACATTGGGATATAGCAGCCGCAGAGGATCCACTCCCTGGTGCTGTGGCGAATTGGAGCTGGCTGCCGGGGTCGAGTGCTGGCGACGACCTCCGACCCTCGGAGACGAAGTCTGGGTGCTGCTGCGGGGGGCGTGACTGGGGAACATGTCGTTGCTGAAGTGACTGCCGTTGTTGCTGTAAAAATGGCGAGTGCGACGCGATGAACCGCTGCTATTGTTGTTATTATTATTATTATGGTTGCTATTGTTGTTATTATTATTATTGTTGCTTCGCGAAGCACGTGAAGCGGCGGAGTAGCGGGGCAAAACGGCCACCGAGTGCAGCCGCTGGGCACCGGAAACGGAAGCGACCTCCCCGGCTCTATCGACCCGGTCGTCTACCACCTCCTCCTCTTCATCCACCTCCTCGTCGTCGTCTTCGTAGTCGTCGATGCGCTCCACGGCGTTGGCGTCTATGGTTTCGGCTATGGCGTTGGCGTCTATAATCACTGCCGCCGGCTGATGATGCACCTGCTCCTGATCCTGCTGCTGCTGTTCGCTGAGATCTGGCTGGGATTCGGAATCCTGGTCCTCCAAATCTTCGAGGAGCAGCGGTGGCGGTGGCTCGGCTTCTGGCTGGTTTTCCTCCTCTCTAACTTCAGCCTCATTCGGCTCTTGGTTGGGTTCTTGTCCTGGTAATTGTAGAGGTTGGTCTTCCAGTGGTGCTTGTGGGGGATTTCCCTCCCGATGCAGCGAGTCTTGATGCCGGATTAAACCCTCTATGTGAAGCAACTCCTGGTTTGCTTCAGGCTGCGGATCCTGCACTGGTGGTGGCTGCTGTTCCTGCAACTCCTGATCCTGATCCTGATATTGCTGATCTTGCTGCGGATGCTGTTCCGGATTCTCTCGCTGATCCTGGTCCTGCAAGGCCGGATGTGGCTGCTGATCCTGCTCCTCCTGATCCCGCTCTTCGCGCTGCGGTGCCGTCGATGGAGTCGTGGGTGGCGGTGCAGTCTGGTGGAAAGTAGGAGTGGGTGAGTGATCATGCGGTGAATTCTCGCGAGCCTCCATTTCGGATGGATTCAATGGGGGATTTGGGTGATCATGGGAAATGGGGTTATGAGGTTCAGAGGGGGCGGGTGTAGGCGTGGGCGAGTGAGAGTGCGAACGAGAGAGAGACTGAGACGAAGAAGAGGAGGGGGCGGCCTCGGCCTCTGCCTCAGCTCCCATGGCTCCCGATTGAGAGAGCTGGTGAGAGCTGCTGCTGGCGCTGCTGTTGTTGCTATTGCTGTTGCTCTCCGAGGAGAGTGGTGGGGCCTCTTCGACGTTCTCCATGTTATGGTTGTTGGTGTTGTTCTTGTTGCAAAAGGAGGGCTGAGAGGAGAGACATTCAGCTAGGGATTAGAGAGAGTGAGCCAGTACCGAGTGAGTGGAAGAGAGAGAGAGAGCGAGCAGATGAAATGCAGATGCAGATGCTGTGTGTTGTGTGTATACATGAGGTGGTGGTGAAGGGAGGGGGAGGATAACTAGCAAACACACAAACAACAACCTCCAAAATGCAATGTCCTTTGTCCGTTACACTGTCCACCTCTCCTCACTCTCTCTCTGTTTCTCGCTATTGCACTCTCGTTTGCTCTCACTGACCCAAAATACAAACAACAACAACAACAGCAACAGCAGTTTACAGTTGCGACGCGCAGCTGCAGCACCAAAAAGAAAAACAACAACAACTACTACAGCTACAAAACTGCATGCACGAAAATGCAAAAAATCAATAACCAAACGAAATTAGCCAATGCTTTTAGCACTCTTAAACATTGCTAGCAAATTAGTTTTTATTATTCTGCATTGGTAAATGCCTTTTACGTCGTTCTTTTCTGAAGTTTTCTTTGTTTTCCCTCTAACCAACGAGTCACTGTCCGCACACAAGCACTCGACACACACACAAGCACACACTGGGCAGCACTCTCTCTCTCGCACTCACGCATATATATGCATGCAGCACGCACACACACACTGGCAGCCCCCACACGCACAGAGAAGAAAATTATCTTTTTTTATTAGCTGGGCCAAATGATCTTTGTTGGGGTTTTAATTCAGCTGATGAATTCGATTTGGCTGGCATTCAATGTTGTTAAACGGATCTACGGTTGCTTTTTCCTTATATTTACCTTCGAGCAGTTGCAATGCGCTGTTAAATCTACGTTTTTTTGACTTTATGTATAGAGCTGGAACACAAAACGATGTTTGTTCGAAACTATCGATGCCTTGAAAGTCTTCATCGATGCTTTTCTCTGCAATAATCGATTGTGCTAATCGATTTTTCTATCTAGGCGCCAAGTTTAAAATTTGATAAGCGATTATACTTTATATTTATATAAAAAACTGTAACAATTAGAAATTGTTTGATTACATTTATATTAAATTGTTAAGAGTGTGAGATGAAACCTTATAAATCTTAATAAAAAATCATAGCCATTCTGGCTGCCAACTGGGTTTGGAGGGTCCGAAAAGTGTACTAATGAGCTTGCAGGTTTCTGTTGATTTAACGGTCATTTTAAAATTCTTTCCATTCCTTTTCATGAAACATTAATATCCAAATGAAAGGGTTCAAATATCAATGTCATGGTAAGTAGCATGTTCCAAATGGGCGGCACATTTTGAATGTTCGATTACATTTTTTTAGTCGCAAATATAGAAACCCGGTTCGCTCTTCACTTTAGCTGGCTCTTTTTCCTTCCTCTCTCTCTCTCTCTCTCTCGGCGTGTTTGTCTCCTTCTCTTTCTATTGATCGTACTCGTGGCCTTTCTCTTTCTCCACCGCACCAATATAATCTTACGTCCCTCCTGACCATTAATACATTTCGTAAACAACAAACAGCCTCGGATGCGATAGCCAACGACAAATGGAAAATTTCGAAATAATGTGTATAATACAACCAAATATTTTTGCGCCTTGGCTTTCACTTTGTAACCAAGATTTTTCAATCGAAAGCAAAGACTGTACTTGTAACCCACAAAAACCTGTAGAGGCATTGTAAGCAACAATACCGAATGGAATTCTCCTTCAAACGACCTTTTAACACGTTGTGCGTTATCATAATATTATTTTCCTGATGACCTTATATTCCTTATGATACAATACTCCGTTATGATCCGATATCTAATTATGATATTCCAAGTTGGGTTCCTTTGCTGTGAACTGACTTTTGTCTTCTGAGTTAGCGACCTGCCCATTCGACTTCCCAATCCCACTGGATCCATCTGTGTGACCCACTGAGAGGAAATCTGCATTGGTGTGCGAATTTCCTATAGACCCACGCACACAGTCTCACGAATTCACCCGCTCTTCTCTCCCAATTGGAGGCTCGTTCTGTGTACGTGAACAAGAGAGCACTGCGATCTATTGTAGTGTGCGTTTTTTACAGGCACTCACGAATACTAATTCACTCTGCTTCGCTCTCTTGATCTCTCTTTCCCACTATCGGTGCGCTCGTAACTTCGATTGTGTTGGTGATTCGCCACTGAACACCAACACCATTAAACATTTAAATGCTCTCTCGTTCTCTGTTTATGTTTGGAGCCGGTGAAGCGATCAGCTGATGCAGATCAGCTGTTTTGGGTCAGGTCCTAATAGGATTCGCATTCTTTGGTCTGTTTTAACAGACTTAAAGGGGAATTAAATAAGCAAAACTGTACTTTTTTGTGAGGCACTTCTAGAAGCATTTCGTCACAAAGTCCATAGTTAGCTGAGGCCACAATCCGGTTTGTAGAGGCCCCAGTCCAGTCCAAACAAATATGGAGACCTTGCACGAGGTCTCTGATTTCCCCTCCCCATCACCGCTCCCACCACCTAAGAATTGTTTATTAATCTACACACCACACAGCGTACTATATATGAACATGCGCGATAAGGCGGCCCGTTCTCCGTCTCTATCGCTCCCCCAGATTGAACCGATCCAGCTGGGTATAAAAGGCGGCGAGCTCTCGCAGTCAGTATTCAGTGAGCACCAAGTGAGCGAGCCATCAACAGCTACCAGATTTACCACACCCAAGTAACAAACTATACAAGATCTTCAAGATGCGTTTGGGACAGACCGTACCTAACTTCCAGGCCGACACCACCAAGGGGCCCATCAGCTTCCACGAGTGGCAGGGCAACTCGTAAGTGCCATCGTACCCCTTTCCCCTATTGATACTCATCCATATCTTCCTCCCTTCCCAGGTGGGTGGTGCTCTTCTCCCACCCCGCCGACTTCACCCCTGTCTGCACCACCGAGCTGGGCAGGATCGCGGTCCACCAGCCCGAGTTCGCCAAGCGGAACACCAAGTGCCTGGCGCACTCCGTGGACGCACTCAACTCCCACGTGGACTGGGTGAACGACATCAAGAGCTACTGCCTGGACATTCCCGGGGACTTCCCCTACCCAATCATCGCCGACCCCACCCGTGACCTGGCCGTCAGCCTGGGCATGCTCGACGAGGAGCAGAAGAAGGACCCCGAGGTGGGCAAGACCATCCGCGCCCTGTTCATCATCAGCCCGGACCACAAGGTGCGCCTCTCCATGTTCTACCCCATGTCCACGGGCCGCAACGTCGAGTGAGTGCCTCTTCGAAGATGTTTCTTAATTTGTATCCTAACTAACGATCTTGCAATCCTTCAGTGAGATCCTGAGGACCATCGACTCGCTGCAGCTGACTGATCGCCTTAAGGTGGTGGCCACTCCGGCCAACTGGACTGTGAGTATTTTTGCCTTGCAAACCCAAGTGAATCCCTATTAATTGTGATTTCCCAACAGCCTGGCACCAAGGTCATGATCCTGCCCACTGTCACCGACGAGGAGGCCCACAAACTCTTCCCCAAGGGATTCGACAAGGTCTCCATGCCCTCGGGAGTGAACTACGTGCGCACCACCGAGAACTATTAAACCCCTGAAGCTATTTACATTCTCAGCTTGTATTCCCCCACATTGTGCCATAAAATAGTAAACTACATGTAATAAAGATTATTTTTAACAAACCAACTACCTTAACAGATTTTTAATTTAGCTCACACTTTTCTGTTAGCCTAATCAATTTCAGAACAGCTCTGACTGACTGACATATATGTACAATGTACATACGTACAGAAAATTTCCTTTCTTAGTGACTTGATATCGTAATTTGTTCACGCTCTTCATTCCTTAAGAGAATTTTAATGACAATGATAACTAAGCGCACAAATAAAGAAAAACCGTTTCTAAAATAGTTGCATGTGCATTATAATAACCCATCATCAAAACTTATAATCGACATTGCACTTCCTATTTCATAACAATTTAATAAATTAGCCAAAGTTATATTTTTATAAAAACAGCCTTTACTACAATACAATTTAGAAAACCTAAAAACAACTAAAACCCGTAATACATAAACAACACTAATAAGAGCTAATAAAAATTGAATTATTGCTTACTGTCATTCTCATCTAGGTATTATATGACCTATTGGATTCTTTAGAAGCGTTTATTTATTTTTGTTAACAGTTTTGAATTCCAAAAATAACAAGAACCTCGACTATCAGATACCTGTTTCTCTATTTACCAATATGAAAGTAAATATGCCTTCAGATGGCGCCAGGTTCATGAATCACCTACATCTGCAGGCGGCGACAGCACTAACCATATAAGACCCTCTAACTTTAATACCTAAATACAAAATATATATACACTTTTTAGAATGATTTTTAATCAAATTAGTAGAGCTGGCATGCCTTATCCAAACTTTCCAAAAATATAGACAGATATACTGATAAACATGCAGACATTGATTGATCCTGATCAAGAACATATATACTTTATAAGACGGTAGATCTTAGTCGTTCGAAACTGCTTGTAAAAATTAACTTTGGTTAAATACGAAATGCATAATTGCTTTGGTAAAACTAATCTTTATTGCATAGTAAAATGTTGTACTTTATGGTAGTGTAAGTGCGAAATAAACAAGATGATATAAAAAAATAAAGTCAGCGCTCTAATAGTTCTCGGTGGTGCGCACGTAGTTCACTCCGGAGGGCATGGAGACCTTGTCGAATCCCTTGGGGAAGAGTTTGTGGGCCTCCTCGTCGGTGACAGTGGGCAGGATCATGACCTTGGTGCCGGGCTATTGGGAGATCATAATTAATAGGGATTCACTTGGGTTTACTAGACAGAATTACTCACAGTCCAGTTGGCTGGAGTGGCCACCACCTTGAGGCGATCGGTCAGCTGTAGCGAGTCGATGGTCCTGAGGATCTCACTGAAGGATTGCAAGATCGTTAGTTAGGATACAAATTAAGAAACATCTTCGAAGAGGCACTCACTCGACGTTGCGGCCCGTGGACATGGGGTAGAACATGGAGAGGCGCACCTTGTGGTCCGGGCTGATGATGAACAGGGCGCGGATGGTCTTGCCCACCTCGGGGTCCTTCTTCTGCTCCTCGTCGAGCATGCCCAGGCTGACGGCCAGGTCACGGGTGGGGTCGGCGATGATCGGGTAGGGGAAGTCCCCGGGAATGTCCAGGCAGTAGCTCTTGATGTCGTTCACCCAGTCCACGTGGGAGTTGAGTGCGTCCACGGAGTGCGCCAGGCACTTGGTGTTCCGCTTGGCGAACTCTGGCTGGTGGACCGCGATCCTGCCCAGCTCGGTGGTGCAGACGGGGGTGAAGTCGGCGGGGTGGGAGAAGAGCACCACCCACCTAAGGAGGAGGTAGATCTGGATGAGTATTAATTCAGGAAAGTGGTACGATGGCACTCACGAATTGCCCTGCCACTCGTGGAAGCTGATGGGCCCCTTGGTGGTGTCGGCCTGGAAGTTAGGTACGGTCTGTCCCAAACGCATCTTGAAGTACTTGGATAGTTTGTCACTTGGATATAGTATGTCTGGTAGCTGTTGATGGCTCGCTCACTTGTTGCTCACTGAATACTGACTGCGAGAGCTGCCGCCTTTTATACCCAGTTGGATCGGTTTGATCTGGGGGAGAGAGAGAGACGGAGAACGGGCTGCCTTATCGCGCATGTTCATATATAGTACGTTGTGTGGTGTACAGATTACTAAACAATTCTTAGTAGATGGTGGGAGAGGTGATGGGAAGGGGAAATAAGAGACCTCGTGCAAGGTCTCCATGTTTGTTTGGACTGGACTGGGGCCTCTTCAAACCGGATTGTGGCCTCACCCAACTATGGACTTTGTGACGCAATGCTTCTAGAAGTGCCTCATAGAAAAGTACAGTTTTGCTTATTTGATTCCCTTTCAAGTCTGTTAAAACAGCCCAAAGAATGCGAATCCTATTAGGATCTGACCCCAAACAACTGATCTGCACCAGCTGATCGCTTCACCGGCTCCAAACATAAACAGAGAACGAAAGAGCATTTAAATGTTTAATGGTGTTGGTATTCAGTGCCGAAACACCAACACAATCGAAATAACGAGCACACCGATAGTGGGAAAGAGAGATCAAGAGAGCGAAGCAGAGTGAATTAGTATTCGTGAGTGCCTGTAAAAAACGCACACTACTATAGATCGCAACGCTCTCTCGTTCACGTACACAAAACGAGCCTCCAATTGGGAGAGAAGAGCGAGTGAAATCGTGAGACTGTGTGCGTGGGTCTATCGGAAATTCGCACACCAATGCAGATTTCCTCTCAATGGGTCACACAGATGGATTCAGTGGGTTTGGGAAGTTGCATAGGCAAATCGCTAATTCAGAAGGCAAAAGGCAGTTCACACCAAAGGAACCCAACAAAAAAATCATAATGGAACATAGGATCATAGGAATGGATTTAAATATGCAATGTGCAACGTGTGAGAATTCCAGATACAGTGCGAGTTTCTGTATTGTTTTTCCTGTGTTACAAGTACAGTCATTGCATTTGGTAGAAAAATCTTAGTTAGTTATAAAGTGAAACCCAAAACGTGAGATCATTTTGTGATACTATACACATTTTGTGGTAATTTTCCATGTCTCGTCGCCTATCGTTTCCTCGGTTGTTTTCGTACAACAAATTCTAAATTGTAGTCAAGTGGGAGCAAGGTTGTGTTGGTGCGGGGGAGAGTGACAGAGAGAGAGAGGCCTTGCGCAAATGACCTGAATTCCTAATAGAGTGTGATGGAGGGAATGTGGAGGTAGAGAGAGAGAGAATCAGAGAGTAGAAAACAAAGAGCGAACCGGGTCTGATCGACGGGCATGATATCGATAGACCGAACCCGATCGCATTCGTACGATCGAGCGCCATCTATCGAATGGGTGATTTGTAATTTCTTAAAAATATTAATTTGGTAATTTACTCATCTTAATTTAATTTATAATTATTCACCACACTCGTAGGATAGGGGTTTAGTGTATTTACTCTGTTCAAAAACGATTTAAGTTAGCTGTTAATAATCTCCAAAATGTCGCTGTGAAGTATGCAACGATTTTTGCAAACTGATAGCCGAGGCTTTTTTGTGTTAATCCTTTTATTCATAGATTAAAATACTTCGTTACGCTTATTAAAAACACCTCTAAGAAGTTTTCAAATATACCAAAAATATTAAATTGGCCATTAGATTTAGTAAATATTAAATATCTCGTACATATGTCAATAAAAAACAAATAAAATCGTCTTATTAAATGGGATATATTTCAAATATCTTTATTTTTATATTTACGATCTAATAAACTAATATTATCTAAAGCGGAATACAAATTATTCATCCATATCAGCGTACCAAAACGTACGATAACGACTATCTTTAAATTTCGTTCGACGAGTTCGAGCGATAGAGACTTTTACTAAGTCATTCTCTTCCTGCCCAAGATCTGGTAGATTCCAAGTGCCGCGGAGAGGGTTCCAATGGCTCCAATTTGGAGGGTTGACATCTTGCCACCCCACAAGTAACCACTGGGCAGAATGCTGACGGCGTGGACCAGATCGAGGGAGATGCGCGCAAAGGAGACCACATCCTGTCGGCTCAGCTGGTTCCGATTCAGCAAGAAAGTCCTTAAAGTCCTCACGAGGTTCAAGTACACGGAAAGCACACAGAATATGGAGTTTGCATAGCTCCATCTCGCCCTGTTTTTCACATCCAAAACCCTGTGCTCGGCCAGCCAGCAGATGGTCTCGATGGGGTAAAAGAGTAGGTCCACCGCGTTGGACATCACCCCCAGTACGGCGGTGATGCGATCCGGTTCACAGTCACCCAATCCATACTCCAGGGTGTACTGGATCACAGGAAGATCGCCGATCAGGCGCAGGGTGGCCTGGGCTCCCGAGATTTTCGAGCTGACGGTGGCACATCTTTGGGACAGGTCTGGGTTCCGCTTGGCCTGGTATCCCGCCACCAACTTGGCACCCTGGCACATCGCCTCCATCAGGACATCCCGTCCGCCGTAGGAATCGATGAGACCACAGACTTCGTTTATGAACTTAGGCATTATTTCTAGAATCTAATAAAGCTTCGTAATGTCTAATGGGAGGTGGAAACTTGAACTGAAGTGCAGTACTTGCAGCGGAATATATAGCCCAAGTCTCGACCGATCTCGATAACAGTACGCGGCTTTTGAAATTCGATTGCACTGAGTTCTGAGAGCGATATCGCCGATCTAACCCGGTTCGCTCTCGGCCTCCCAGTCTTTCTGCTGCCCCACTCTGTCTCTCTTCCATCTTTCTAGCGCGTGCCCTCTCCATCTCGCTCTCGCCGACAAAAACACAATCTTGCTTCCCGCTCGCATGCAAAATCTACTTTGTTATTGACAAACAAATATAGAAGACCATGGAAAATTACCTCAAAATGTGTATAATAAACTGATGTTTTTGCGTTGTAATAAACCCAAAGAATTTTCAACAAATACATGGGCTGTACTTGTACCTTGTATAGAAATTACAGAGAAAACGCAATGAAGACGTTTCTCCTTCAAACGATCTCAAACTTGTGATACATTGTGCATCACCGCTTTATATGTATCCAATATTTTAAATTGATAATCCATAATGATGATCAGTTTCCAAGTTGAGTTCCTTTTCCTTACACTGTCTTTTGGCTTCTGATTTAGCGATTTGCCCATGCAACTTTCCAAGCCCACTAGATCCATCCATGTGACCCACTGAGAGGAAATCTGCATTAGTGTGCGAATTTCCGATAGACCCACACACACAGTCTCAAGAATTAATTCGCTCTTCTCTCCCAATTGGAGGCTCGTTCTGTGTACGTGAACGGGAGAGCGCTGTGATCTATTGTAGTGTACGTTTTTTACAGGCACTCACAAATACCACCATAGTGTTCGGCGCTCTCTCGCTCTCATTATTTCAGTGCTCTTTGGAAAGTGATCAGCTGTTGGATCAGCTGTTTGGGAAACACCTGTTGAGAATAACAGCTAATCCTGTCTTATTTAAAACTAGGGAGATTTTCGTATAAGGGAAAACAAAAATAAAACTGTACTTCTCTGAAGGCAAACTTCTAGAATTCCATAACAAAGTCCGGAATATCACGAGGCTGACTACATGGCAACACACAAAAATAGAGGCGTACAAAACATGGAGGCCTTGTCCGACCGGCTATACCTAATATACATTTGCACATACGTATGTATGCTTGGATGTTCCTATGAGTATACACAATGTCGATAAGAGTTCTCCGTCTCAATCGCTCTCACTGATCACTTCCAAGCAAGTGGGTATAAAAGGCAGCGATATCCCTCGATCGGTATTCAGTTAGCACCAAGCGAGCAAACTATCGACATCGACATCGTCTACAGACTTTTATTCAAGTACAAAATAATTAACCTACGTCAAAATGAGTTCCAATTCCCTGTTCGAAACCGACGAAGATCTTGCCCAGGCCAACAAGTTGTCCAGGAAAGTTAAGGAATCCCCCTTTATGCTGGTGGGGATTGCTGGATTCGTCGCCGCTGGTCTGGTTGGAGCCTACAAATACCGGAACAGGGGAACCATGAGCACCAGCGTTTTCTTGATGCAGTTGCGAGTGGCCGCCCAGGGAACGGTAGTGGGATGTTTGACCGCCGGATTGGCCTACACCATGGCCAAGGAGTATCTGTTCCATGAAGAACCCAAAAACCTTGCCAAGCCAGTCGAGTAAGAAAGTGCGATCATGTCGAAAAAATCGGATATCGGGGTGTTGACCACCAACCGTACTGTAAGTATACCTTTGAATAAACTCTAAATGATCGGGTACTAATTATATTTCCCCAACAGGCTTGCACAAAAACCATTCAGTCTCCTCCGAAGAAAGTATCACAACCAAACACCCTAGAGATTTAGGAAAATCTGCATTTGGAGGTGACCTATGTACAAGCGCACCACCAAGAAGTATTAGAAACCCGGTGCTACCTCCACTTCTCATTTCATTTTCTTCACCTATTTTTCATAAAGTCGTAGTTCTAAGTAATAAATATTGTTTTACCAAAGAATCAACATCAATGCTTTTTCACTGTGCTATTTTTGACATTTCAGCTAAAATTATTAAGACAATAATTCTTAAAACCTGTAACAATAGATATTTTTAAACTATTTACAAATTCGCAGAATCTTAAAAAAGATATTTCCAGTGATCTCCCTTTCGGGAGCTTAAGAATTACAATCTGAAAAAAATTTAAAAACTGCATAGACTTGGTTACATTGATAGTTTATGATCAAAGTGAAATTGCAGTCAAAATAAAATGAACTAATAATAACATAGGGCGAACGCAAAGATATTAAAAGAATTGCTTACTTAGTAAGTCCCAAACGTTTACAAAAAAATTTTGAAAGTTAAATTTGATAATCTTATGCTGAAAATATGAAATTTAACTAGCACATGAAACATAAACGTAATTCTTAATGATATCATAGGAATATGTGACGATATGATATGATATGTATTATATTAATAGTATGTTTGTTTAGCGTATCTCTTTAGATTTCATCTAAATAATAGGTATATAAATATTTTATGTCTAAAAATTTGTAAGAAATTTCAAACATTATGTAGTGATTAAGTATAGTAATTTAATCAACTAACAAACTGGTATAAAACTCTAAAAAATAAATATATCGTAAATAATGTCTATAATTTTCTTTCCATAAAAATTTTCTAAGTCCTCAAAAAGAAGAGCTTTAAAAAGGAAAGGTTCAAGTGGGTCCTTAACTTTATGATTAGGAATGACAAAAGTATTCGGTTTTACCAAATTGTAAAATAACCTTTATTATATATTGTTACGAACTAATTTATGGCACAAAGTGGAATCGGAATTCAAGTTTATAAATGCAAATAGCTTCAGGGGATTAATAGTTCTCGGTGGTGCGCACGTAGTTCACTCCGGAGGGCATGGAGACCTTGTCGAATCCCTTGGGGAAGAGTTTGTGGGCCTCCTCGTCGGTGACAGTGGGCAGGATCATGACCTTGGTGCCGGGCTATTGGGAGATCATAATTAATAGGGATTCACTTGGGTTTACTAGACAGAATTACTCACAGTCCAGTTGGCTGGAGTGGCCACCACCTTGAGGCGATCGGTCAGCTGTAGCGAGTCGATGGTCCTGAGGATCTCACTGAAGGATTGCAAGATCGTTAGTTAGGATACAAATTAAGAAACATCCTCGATGAGGCACTTACTCGACGTTGCGGCCAGTGGACATGGGGTAGAACATGGAGAGGCGCACCTTGTGGTCCGGGCTGATGATGAACAGGGCGCGGATGGTCTTGCCCACCTCGGGGTCCTTCTTCTGCTCCTCGTCGAGCATGCCCAGGCTGACGGCCAGGTCACGGGTGGGGTCGGCGATGATCGGGTAGGGGAAGTCCCCGGGAATGTCCAGGCAGTAGCTCTTGATGTCGTTCACCCAGTCCACGTGGGAGTTGAGTGCGTCCACGGAGTGCGCCAGGCACTTGGTGTTCCGCTTGGCGAACTCGGGCTGGTGCACCGCGATCCTGCCCAGCTCCGTGGTGCAGACGGGGGTGAAGTCAGCGGGGTGGGAGAAGAGCACCACCCACCTGGGAAGGGAGGAAGATATGGGTGAGATTAAATTGGGGAAAGTGGTATAGTGGCACTTACGAGTTGCCCTGCCACTCGTGGAAGCTGATGGGCCCCTTGGTGGTGTCGGCCTGGAAGTTAGGTACGGTCTGTCCCAAACGCATCTTGAAGTACTTGGATAGTTTGTCACTTGGATATAGTATATCTGGTAGCTGTTGATGGCTAGCTCACTTGTTGCTCACTGAATACTGACTGCGAGAGCTCACCGCCTTTTATACCCAGTTGGATCGGTTCGATCTGGGGGAGCGATAGAGACGGAGAACGGGCTGCCTTATCGCGCATGTTCATATATAGTAGGTAGTGGGGTGTGTAGATTAATAAACAAATCTTAGATGGTGGGAGCGGGGATGGGAAGGGGAAATAAGAGACCTCGTGCGAGGTCTCCATATTTGTTTGGACTGGACTGGGGCCTCTACAAACCGGATTGTGGCCTCACCCAACTATGGACTTTGTGACGAAATGCGTCTAGAAGAGCCTTATAGAAAAGTACAGTTTTGCATATTTGTTTCCCTTTTGAGTCTGCTAAAACTGTCCAAAGAATGCGAATCCTATTAGGATCTAACCCCAAACAGCTGATCTGCACCAGCTGATCGCTTCACCGGCTCCAAACGAGAGTGCATTCAAATGTTTAGTGGTGTTGGTGCTCAATGGCGAAACACCAACACAATTGAAGTTACGAGCACACTGATAGCGGGACAGAGAAATCAAGAGAGCGAAGCAGAGTGCATTAGTATTCGTGAGTGCCTGTAAAAAACGCACACTACTATAGATCGCAACGCTCTCTTGTTCACGTACACAAAACGAGCCTCCAATTGGGAGAGAAGAGCGGGTGAATTCGTGAGACTGTGTGGGTGGGTCTATCGGAAATTCGCACACCAACGAAGATTTCCTCTCACTGGGTCACATGGACGGATCTAGTGAGTTTGGGAAGTCGCATGGACAGATCGCTACTCAGAAGCCAAAAGACAGTACGCCGAAAAGGAACTCTATTAGCAATAAGATCATTATGGAATATACTATCATGATAATGAATTTTAACATGCAATGTGCAACGGGTAGAAAGGTCGTTTCAAGGAGAATTCCAGTCGGCAATGTTGTTTACAATGCCAGTTTCTCTATAAATTTTTGTGTGTTACAGGTAAAGTCTTCGCTTGTAGTGAAAAAATCTCGGTTGCTTACAATGTGAAATTCTAGACCCAAAAACATTTGGTTATGTTATACACATTCTGTGGTAATTTTCCATTTGTCGTTGGTTATCATTTTCAAGGTTGATTGTTGTTTACAAAATGGTTTTTCTGGTCAAGAGGAACGCATGATAGAGAGAGTATTCGAGAGAAAAACAAAAAAAGATAAAGAAACTATAGAAAACATGGAGCGAACCGGGCTATAAAGTGTGCTCTTAGATCACCGATTGACCGCTAGAACTGAAACGTTATCGAAACATTCAAAATGAAGAGGCTTTCTATCGGATAGTAAGGGAACTAAATATTTTTTCTATTTTTTCCAATATTAGTAAGCTGACGCAAAAACGTTTGCACCATTTTGAAATTACAAAAATAAATCTTTCCATAATCGACTTATGGACTGTCTTCAACAATTTATGAAATTTTATATCAATTTTGTTTATGTTATGTTGAACATTGAAAAAAAAACATTGCCAAATGTAACTGTATGTCTTACTAATTATTATAATTTTTAAAAGATAACGAAAAAAATCTTCTAACGAACATATGCATGAGGACTTTGCCTCAAAGTATGCTATACAAAATTATTTTACATGTACTTGAACAACTATTTTGTGGAGTATATTTTAAGGCGCAGACAAACATAACCCTTGAACCATTAAATATCCTTTGGCTTACAATTATTTAAAAAAATTTTATTCCCTAATTATAGTACATTTTTGGAAAGTATCCCTATTCGCGCATCCTTGACTATCCACTGAGCTTTTGCGCCTGAAAGCTAACGCTTGAAGTCAACTTGCAAACAGCTGATTTTGATAAGCACCGCCTTCGCCCACGCCGCGTGTTTTCCTTCTTCTGCTTTTGCTTTCGTTCTTCCGCTTTGCTTTTGCTTTGCTTTTGCCTTGCTTTTGCTTTTGGCGCTCCGGTTCAGTTCAAATTTAGCGATGCGCGCGTGCGGTTGCTCAGCGCTTGAAAGAAATAACGGTGAACGGTCTTCGAACTTGGGTCCTATTTTTCTGTCTTATTGCCTCGGTGTTTTTGGGTCTAGGGACCGTAATTCGGCGTATTCTCGTATTCTGACAAAGTGCACACCTTTTTCGGAGGAGAAGGTAAAACTTTTTCCGCGAAAACTTTTCCCCATGTTTGCTCATGTGGTTCGTTCGTGTGTGTTTGCCAACTAATCCCAACATGTGAGACTGTGAACAAATCATCTTTAACACTATATTCCCACTCCACCAAAAATCACAAATGATCTGATCGCCGTCGAAAAAGTTTCTTCTCTGACCAGTGGTAATGCTAAATGCAGTAACGGCTGCCACGATAAAGTTATTTTTTTGAAGAGAGGGGACGAAAAGTTGCCAACCAACAACTGTCCTCATAAAATATGCCAAGACATTTACATCCAGCCAGAACCAACTGCTTTAAGCCCTCTGGCACCCGCCGGCCATCAAAGTGTTAAAGTGCTATAAAAAAGGTACGAAAAAATACTCCCTCGACGACCATTGAATAATGCATTCAATTACGAGTGTCACCAAAAAATAAAAAACAAACAAACAAACAAGAATTTATGCACACGTGATATGTAGGTGCAAATGTGTATATTCATACGTGGTCTTGTTTATTTTGGACTCGCAATTAATATTTAAGGGGTGCTTTTATAATTAATGCTGATTGTAATTAAAGGGTTGTTAAAAATGTATGTAATGCTTATTGTAAGGCAGGCAATTAGGGTTAAGTGTAATCCCTTAAAATATAATTAGGGTTAATTAATGAAGTAAATGTATTATTAAATATACTTTTAAACATCCCTGCTGAACCTATTTAATGCTTATTTTTGCCTAAGTTTCTAATTATTTTGGAAAGTAATGGAAATATTATCAAATATAATTCTGGAAAGGTTGGTAAAATAGCGAATAACTAATTAATTCATGGATCAAATTAAATTTCCTAATAATTGAGTCTTGAGACATTATCAAAAATCGCTAAGCTCCTTAACCTTTTCAAAAAAAATACCCATTGTTATGTGGTTAGGTGTTGATTTCAAATCCCTCGACTTAAAACATCACAAATTAAGGTATATAAAGGATCAGAGAAAGTAATGCTTAAGCAATCCTAATAATATGTTTTTTAAGGGTTCCATTAAAAGGGTTTCAGCTGTACTTACCCTGATATAAATAAGCCATTGAAATATAATCAACAGCTTATCCGATTTAATTTAGGGACA